GGTCCCTGTTGGCAGGTAATCGACCTCGTAGTAGCAGCAAAGCAACCAAAGATAATATGTAAGCAAACTGGTGCGGCCGCTCCAATACTCCTCTAGTAAAACTTTATTTACAAAATGGGCAGAGGGCCAGATTTGGCGCAGAGGCTGCAGTCTACCAATCCTAGTTCAATTTAAAACGCTACAGTTTTCATGTCTATTCTTATGCTGCTCGGCACCACTGGAAAAAAGCACAGGACTCTGCAAATTAGGATCCCCGACAAATTTCTGCTGTTTCACATGACCTGGGCCTTATCAGCTCCTAGACAGCTATTCTCTAGATGGCTATTCTAGATCTTTACCAGGCCTCTGCTACACCTAACTTCATAAAATCGAGGCCATGACATACAGTGTGTAGCACACAGAGGTTCAACACATCTAAATTATTAAAAGCAACAAAACCCTTCCCTCACGTTTGATACAGCCTTTCTCTTTCTCCTCCACAGGCCCTCAGAATGAGGCTGCCTCTCTGTTCTGGAGCCGAGCCCACCCCCCCAACCATGCTCACTCTGTCTTGGGCTGTCCCCTGTCTTGCCTTTTGGTCTCCTGTCTCTCGCCTTGCTTGCATCCCTCCAATGGCCTCTAAAATGCTCCCTGCCCCAAATAAGTCCTCCACATTCTCCATCATGATTTTTCTAATACACATTTCTAAATCTACTGGCCTAACTTAATACCGCTAGTGACTTCAACTGTCTTCAAAATAAAGCACTAACTTCTTCACCCAGCATACAAAGCTCCCCCCATCTGTGCTGACTTAATGTGCCACTGTTTTCTCCTAGTACTTTTTGCTACACATTTTCCATTTCTGCTTTACCAAACTACCTTGAGTCCACTTACTAAATACTGAGCATCCACTATGTCCAAGTGGGCACCAGGGTTGGTGCTGGAGATATAATAATGAACAGGGATTCCTGATCCCCTCCCTCAAGAATTTGACAATCTACTTGGGGGTGGGAGAGACATATACATTCAATCCATATGCAATCATATTTCATTAGGATGACAATAAGCAGTAGGAGGGATAATTATAGAGCATGGAGACAGCATACAGTTGTGGGGGTTGAAATAATCCAGGGAGTCAGGAAATCTTGAAGTATTGAGCTGATCTCTGTAGAACGAACAGGAGTGAACCAGGAAAGGGGAAGATCAAAAATGTTCTGGTCAGAGGAAACAAGAGTACAAAGCTGATGAAGCAACATGGTTTATTTGACCAATGAAAAGTGCACCAGTCTGCTGAGAGAGGCAGAGCTACGCTGCAGGGCCTGGAAGGCTATCTGATCTTTAGGAACATGGTGCTCAGTCCACAGTTGAAATGAGTCATGAGGTCACTCTGGCTGCTCTATGGAGCATGAACTGGGGCTCCCCAGCATCTCTTTGCTCAGTCACAAATCTGTATTAATATTTCAGCCTGGCATGTCCTTTCTGGAAGGATAGGAGTTTACTTCTTCCTGAGAATAAATGAGAAACTCCTGGGTACTTTTGGAAATATCCTGATGGGGATTTTGAGGGTTAGGAAGGGGCTGGGTTGTAAAAGTGGAGTTAAAAATATAGACTTTGGAGTAATAATAGCAAACTTTTTATGGCACTTAAAAAGAGTACCAGACCCCAGTGAAGCATTTTATGCTTGGTAACTCATCCCTTCCCCAGCAGCACCCTCATCACCTCCAGGCGAGAGGCGACACTGACACGCAGAGTGGTCGGATCTTGCCTAAGGTCACACAGTCAGTGGCTGAGCTGAGACTATGAACCTAGGCATCCCGCCCCAGACCCTGAGGCACCAACGACTGTGCAATTCAGTCATTCTTTGTGCTACGTCATAATATACATCAACATGTTTTAAAACCCAAAACAGCATTAAAATTTTGTTTTACAGTCATATATTTTTAAAATCAGAGTAATAAATAAAATATATAGTAATTTATATTTACCCACTTTTTTTTGGCACCACACTCACTGGGGTCCTCCCCTATGTGTGTATTCAGTGCTCAGACAAGGGTTTGGACAGAGTTTATAAAGAGAATTTAAGGTTCACTCCCCCTGCTCAGTCCTTCTCAGATTCCCCTCATAATATTCCACAGGTTTTCTGGCCTGGCAGCACCGAATTCTCTCTTTGGACACCACAGCGTCTGTAGATTGCACAGTACCTGCAAGGTCTTAATTTCAGCTACTGTATTTTTCCGCTCTAGAATTTTCATTTGATTATTTTTTTCACACACACTAGTATTCTGATGAATTTCTGTATCTTTGTTGTTTTCTGGGTCACATTAATTACAATTATTTTGAAGAGCCTATCTTATAACTTGGGTATCTAGATTCTGCGAGTCTACTTCTGCTGTTTGTTTTTCTCTTGCATTTTTGGCCATTTGTTTACTTTCTGGTATGCCTGGCCACGTTTTGTTGAATGCCATAAATTGTGCATGAAAATTCTAGTGGCTTTCAAGAAAGGATTTCATTGTTCCTTAGAAGACAGGTGGAATGATGAAGGAACTGCTCTGCTCTAGCTCAAGCTGGGCATCTGTACCTCGAGGACTTTCATATTTCTGGTTGGTTCTTGGCTCCTTGAGTACAGCGCGGATGCTTCAGGGAACATCCAGTCAGAGGTCCCAGCAGAAAGCCTGGAGTATTTACCAGAGCCTGCCCCACAGGGCAAGTGCTGAACTCCAAGTTCTGTCTCCCAGCATCACACGATTATCAACATCTCAACTCCACTCACTGGCTTCTTAGAAGTTGTGACTGTTTACTTTTTTGGCACCTCATCCAGAGCTTGTGCAGCAAGAACATACACAAAGGCTTAATGACCTTTCTTCTCTGTGATCCACTCCTTCTCAAATAGTGGCTCCTTGAGTTCCTGTCACTTTGGAAGCCACAAGCTACCGAAAGTGAACTAGTTTCTGCTCACACCACTTTTGGCACTGAATGTGCAGGTTCTTCATACCAAGGGCTTCTCCAGTTTTCTGTGGATACCAACCGGATATCCTACAGTTTAATTTGATTCTGACACTAACAGCCCAGAGTTAGTGTAGACCACAGAGATTAAGGGCTCAACGCCACAAGACTGCCCTCATTTCAGATGCCAACTGCTAGTCTAGACCTCCCACATTTCTCATAGTCCTTTCTTTGGGTTGGAGCATTTCCTAGAATGGTGCGTAGGCTCAGAAAATTCCCTTACTTACTATTACTGGTTTGTTAGAAAGGCTACAACTCAGAGCAGCCAATGGGAGGGAGGCACAGGGCACTGCACGGGGAAGGGGCACAGAGCTTCCATGCTTTCTCCAGGTGCGCCATCTTCCCAGAATCACCACATGTTCATCAACCCGGAAGCTCTCTGAACCATGCTGTTTAGGATTTTTTTATGGAAGATTCCATAGGCAAGATTACTCAACTCCTTAGCCACTGGTGATCCTCTGGACCTCCAGTCCTCCTCCCTGCCCTGAGCGCTGCGGGTGAGACTGCAAGTTCCAACCCTCCACTCACAGGATCGGTTACTTTGGCAACCAGATCTCCCACCTCCAGGAGTCATTCATTAGCATAAACTAAGGTGTGGCTGAAAGGGGTTTATTATGAATAAAAAAAGCACTCTTCCCACTCGGATCTCTCAGCTAATTCGGAGGGTTTTAGGAAATCTGTGTTGGGAACCAGGGAGAAGACCAAATACGTATTTCTTATTATATCACAACACCACAGTTCTTTTCCCTAGGATCTTGACCTAATATGTGATTTCTACCCTAATTGTTTTACAATGGCTTCAAATGAGCTTCTAATACTTCTCTAACTCTAACAGTTATTTTTGGTGGGAGTGTTAGACCAATATGATCTACTTCATTATAATTAGAAGCAAAGTCCTTCTTGTTAACTGGTTTTAGAGGAACTTGCTAATTTTCACAAGTAAGCATCCTTAGCAGGCAGAGGTTAAAATCTATTTTCAATGACCACTTTGTGGTATTTGTGAAAAGACCACAATTCCCCAGGGGAGAGCCATGGACAGAGGCCACTCTGGACATCGTAACCAGCACTAATTGGTTTCCACATCAGCAGTCTCAGCAAAAAAGTTAATTTGGTGACAAAACCAAGAATCGGTTTTACTTTTAGGCTATTCAACACCAAAAAATTCTGGAAAGGGTTGTAAGGAGGCTTTCATTATCTGTGGACTTTACTAGCACTGAGGTAAACTTCTTTAATCTCACCTGTTGGCTTCCATTGTTTGTATTTAGATGGTTCTGCCGGTACTTTTGATCTGAGTTTGGGGAAGTTTCAAAGATTTATATTAAATGCTTTCTATATGAGTTAAAAAGCATTATTATACATAAGAGCCTATCAAACAAGCTAGCCTTGAAAAACGAATGAATAAATCATTCTTTTTCTAATTAACTTTAGAGAAGAGAGCACGATTTAAGAAGGCTTTAATAACAGGCAGCCAACAATCTGGAATCTCAACTGGCCTTATCCTTTATCATCCAGTATAAATAATAATGCAGCTAATATTTTATTAGGATAGAGAAGGGAGGAGAACCCCTACCTCTTTTTTGCAATCAGTACATTTTTTTTTTAAATGGGCACAAGTACATACGTACACACACACACACACACACACACACACACACACCCATGTGCATACACCAATATTCATAAACACTGATTCTTTTTCATGGAGCCTACCAGTCAGTAGCCCAAATGTATAGTGGAAAGCTCTAATTTAATACTAGTTCTTTCCAATTCGTTCTGCACCAAAATTGCTCAGAACCTGGGTTTCAATCAAGCACTTATAACCTGCCACGATGAGCTGATTATTATCCTTTAATAAAAGGAGCCCTTTCCAACAGCCACGTCCCGCTAAGGCAGGTACATTTCCATACCACCTGATGGGGAGGGAAAGGAGGGAGCAAAAAAAGAAGACAAAAAGCAGATAGAAGGAAGGGAAGATAGTGTCCAAAGAGATGGTGTGTGAGCATGTTTTGCAGACTTACCCCGCGTGGTTATGGCTTTGGTGTTTCCATCATCCATCTGCATGATGCTGGGCTCTGCTGGCTTCTGATCATCCTTACTGATTACAGTCTCCTTCACCGGGTCAACTACTTTGAATGAGGGCGAGACATAGAGCGTCTCTACAGAGCTCTGGTTATAGAAAGAGGAATCTGACCTTGATGTCCTTAAATCAGGACTGACATGTTCTTTACTTGATGACCACAAGGTTGGCAAGGTTGGCAAGGTTGGCAAAGTTGGCAAGGTTTCAAAACACTTTGCAGCTGACTGCCTTTCTAGAGGTGTTTGCAAATTATTTTCTGTCATAGTATTTGCAATAGGACTGTCTGATTTGTCCAAACTCACTTTTGTCTGCAGAGATAGGCTTTTTTCTGAGGGCGTAGGCACAGGATCTGTAAAATAACAAATAAGCACTGTAATAAAAAAAAAATACTCTATTTCAGATCTGTTGCAATTTTAATAAATCAGATTCTTTTTAATGCCATAACAGAACTCTCCTATTTAGTTGTTTCTACTTTCTTACTATGCTTCTATTCTGCCTATTTAAAGTAGACCCAGCTATAATTGACGCATTAGTCATTTGGTGACTGCCTTTTCTCTCTCTCCTCACTGAAGCACAAGGCAAGGAATGCTGCAAATAACTTGTCTTTAAATATTTCTCCCTTCACCCACTAATCTGTCTCTGAAACCACTATATTTTTGGAACCTTCAAACTTCCATCGTTTTATGAGATATACTAGGGAAAATGTACCACATCATGCTGGTCTACCCTGACAGAACCCCCCAATTACACTGCAGTCCTTTCCCTGAAACAAACAACATCTTCTTGCCTCAAAGTCTCTAAAAAGCCCATAAAAGAAAATCACAACTTTAAGGTAGCAGCCTAATCTTAAGAAAACTTTTGTCTACATGGAAGAAAAGAATCTTTCAGAGCCACTATGGCAATTACTGAAATGTAAGCTTCATCAGCTTGGGCATCTTTATCCATTTTATTCTTAGACATCACCAAAGTACCTGAAATGTAACGGCCAGAGTTTATTTATTACAAATAAGAGGAAACGCAAGGCATCGAGAGCTGAGGTGGGCCTGGCACAGGAATCTAGTAAACCTATGGGAGACAGACCTGCTCAGATTTCTAGATGCAACTCATGCCCGGCGCCTAGAGCGAGCTCTTGCTCTCAAGAGTCTCATTGGAAGTTGGAGGCAGAAGGACTGGCAATTATTCTCGAGACAAAGAGAGAGTGACATTAGCAGCATAAGCAGGTGAGCCAGGGCACAAGGCAGACCACATAATTTTGAAACTCCCCAAAGAGAAGTTGCTACAGGAATTGGGAGCTCCGCCGTGGGGTGGTTATCACAGGGCACGTCGTGACAAAACTCATGACATACGTGGACAGGCCACGGCATCACGTTCAGGCTCTGTTATTAAAGAAAACCAAATTTTCTTGGACTCTAAAAGCCTCCTTTCCATTTTCATTGCCAGTTGGAGGTTAGCCTGGACTGAAGACCTGCCAGTAGCAGTGTGCTGCAGACAATTCAAGAAACTTCTATCGCTAACTCTACCAGGAATTCCATTTGTCCAACCCATTCATCCCCAAAGAAAAATCTTGTAAAATTCAAGTCAAGGACCACTTTCTCCTACCACACTCCCCGCCATGCAGCCACTATCTGTGGTGCCCATGCTGCCTGGAGCCCAGTGAGTGACCCTCCCCACCTCACTGCACGGTGCTTGTTGAGTGATTGAGTGAAAGGACAAACCGAAGTGCAAGAATAAAGAAAAATTAATGCTTTTGCTTTCTTAAATTTAATACAGTTTAATACTTCATAGTGAAACAAAATTGGTAGGTGAAAATAACTTCTAAAATATTCCTAATTTGTGTATGATCAAGTAACGTCTAGTTGGCAAAAAGTTCGGTTCTGTTAGAAATATATTCCTAATGGGGGCCTCCCCAGTGGCGCAGCGGTTGAGCACTAGGTTGCGAAGCTGCCCGCAGCCTCTGCAACGCCGGTTCAATCCCCAGCTGCTCTCCGACCACCGGGTGAGTGTCCCACATGGCGCTCAGACCTCTCCTGCCGCCCGCTGCTCCCCTCAGCAGTGTACCTCGATCCTTCTGCCTGCTCTGCTCCCCGCTCTGGCTCTGGTAAATTCTCTCACCCTCCCGCGCTTCTGACTGTACCCAGTGCTTGCATAAATAAATAAATTAAATATATCTTTTTTAAAAAAAAAAGAAATATATTCCTAATGAACACCAGAGGCACAGTATCCCACAGCATGTGTGTAGGTGGCCGGATTTACATAAGAGCATTTATTAAAAGAGAATTTTAATAAAATATTTTTCCGTTGACTTTCATTTTATTTATTTATTTATCTAGAGGGTTGAAACTTTTGTTACTACTTTTTTCCATTGGCGTCCATCACTGCTGGTATTTTGTTATCGTCACCACAGCGCACCCACCACCAAGTCACCCAGAGTACACCACGGTCGTCCTTTCCCTTTGTTCTCACCCCCCACCCTCTGGATACTTCAGTTCTACAGTCAACTGTTTTTTTTTTTTTTTTTTTAATAGAGGCATGCTTTATTTATTTGTTTGCTGGTTTGTTTGTTTGTTTTGTTTATACAAGCACTGGGCACAGTCAGAAGCACGGGAGGGTGAGAGAATTCACCAGAGCCAGAGCGGGGAGCAGAGCAGGCAGAAGGACCAAAGTACACTGCTGAGGGGAGCAGCGGGCGGCAGGAGAGGTCTGCACGCCATGTGGGACCCTCCTCCGGTGGCCGGGGAGCAGCCGGGGATCGAACCGGCGCCACAGAGGCCGCGGGCAGCTTCTCAACCCAGCACTCAACCGCTGCGCCACCGGGGAGGCCCTACAGTCAACTGTTTTTAAAAGAAAAAGCGGGGCCTCCCTGGTGGCGCAAGGGGTTAAGCACCGCACTATGAAGCAATCTGCAGCCTCTGCAGCACGAGTTCGATCCCCGGGCAGCCAGGGAGCTACCCACATGGTGCAGCAGACCTCTCCTGTCTCGCCCGCTGCTCCCCTCAGCGGTATGTTTCAGTCAGTCTGCCTGTTCTGTTCCCCACTCTGTCTCTGGTGAATCCTCTCACTCCCTGCATCTCTGGCCTGTACCCCAGCTCTTGTATAAATAAATAAATCTTTAAAAAAAAGAAAAAAGAAAAAAAATAAAAAGTGGTTTTCTATGGTAAAATCTCCCTAAAACTTAGTCAGATGTAAACTAAGGTAATCTAGAATAACAATGACTTTCTGATGAAAATATTCATAACAACAATCCAAATCTCAAAATAGGAATGTATAAAGTCAATTGTAGAGTCATCACTTTAATGTTTAGTATAAAATTTTAAAATTATGAAAGAACAATCAAAAAAGACCTAAAAAATCAACAAAACAGAGTAGATGGCAGGCTCTCTGGCCCAGCGCTCACCCTGACTGTCCAGGCCGAGCAGGGCCCGTGTGGTCTTCTAACTGCTTCGACTTTTATTTTATTTTATTTTTCATTGAATTATGTCATTGTTGGTAAACTGGTAAACATTTTGATGAATAAAATGCACTTTCATTTTTCAAAAGAAAAGATGACAAATCATAAATAATGATCCTAAATAAATCACAATGATCCTAGATATAGTGAATGATTGAAAACAGGAAAATGTTTACCTGAACAGAATGCTTAAGAGACCTGAAGGTTCTAGAAGGGAGCTCGTCCTGGTTTCCTGCCATCAGCCTTGCCCCACCCTGCTCTTTCTGATCAATGTCCCACATAAATCTTCTTTAATTCAATCACGACTGTAGTTATTTATAGTCGTATTCAAAAATTCTTCAAAAACCTCCTCTTGTTTTGGAGACTAAGTCTAAATTCCATGAGTTGTAAAGCCCTTCCGCTGCTCATTTTCTACAGCTACTCGACAGGAGACTCGCCCTCGTCAGGCCATTCTCTTCCTCACTCACACAGGCCACGTTCATTCAGGGACCTTTATCTTCACTCTTCACATTGGTTCTTGTTTCTGTATCTTTATTACTATTGATTTCTCACCCTGCATCCAACACCACAACACCCTCCCCCTGCTCTATCTACTTAAATCCCACCAATTTCTCAAGACCCATCTTAAATAATTACTACTTCTGGAAACGATTTTCAATCATGTCTTTCATTCCATCTTAATCTTTCCCTTTTCCAAAATAAAACTTATTTTGGTAAACTCGTCCTTTTTCTTTTTTAAAGATTTATTTTATTTATACAAGAACTGGGGTACAGGCCAGATGCGCGGGAGGGTGAGAGACAGAGAGAGAGCGGGGAACAGAACAGGCAGACTGACGAAATCCACTGCTGAGGGGAGCAGCGGGCAAGACAGGAGAGGTCTGCGCGCCATGTGGGTTGCTCTGAGGCCAGCGGGGATCGAACTGGCACTGCGGAGGCTGCGGACAGCCTCACAGCACTGCACTCAACCGCCTGCGCCACCAGGGAGGCCCTAAACTTGTCTTTTTCACCTAATTATATGTGGTGACATATCATATTAATTCCTATAATCCACCGTGCTTTTTTGCATGTAGGAGGTATACAAATATTTGTTCAATGTATTCATTCCTTAATTGATAAATTATCTAACATCAATTTTATATGCTGATTTTGTGCATAATGATGCATGCTGTGTGTGATGCCTAAAAGATGATCAAGAAGTACTTGTTGAGCACCAACTGTTTACACTGCACTGTGGCAGACTCTGGCCACATACAGAAGAGGAAGTCACAGGTCCTACTGTCCACCGACGTAAGATCAACGGTGGCTTCTGTACAGACCGGTGGATCGGTGGGTAGAAAGAAGGAATGCACACACACACACACACACCCCTGCATACACATGTGTACACACAGAGAGTACATGACAAACACTTAACAACACTAATAATACAGTGACCAGCTCGATTTCACAACATCTACACGATTGAAGCTTCTCAAAAGATGAGCGAACATAAAGAAAAGAGTGGAGCAAATAGACCTCTTCCGGGGCAAAAAAGAATTTATTTGCACAACAGGGTAAACAGAACACGTTTTAGTTTGGGTTCTCCCAAAGCAGAAAGACCCAGATGCACGTAGTTGATTTGGCAGCGATCCCAGGAGCACCAGTGAGGGAGAGGGGCGCAAACTAAACGGCGCAAAAGCCAGGGGCGTGAGCTGGTGGCCAGGTCACCCACGAGACAAGTGCGGGTCAGCGCTGACGGCGAGGACCAGGAATGTGGACTATTTATTCAACGACTCTCAGTCCTAGGAGGGCCGAATCTTTGGCACATCTGGGGCTGCCATGTACTCAGCCTGAACAAGGGCCCAACGGAGGCGGGCAGAGCAGCAGAGAGGCGGGCAGGAGAATACGGAGCGGTCACAGCC